CACAGCAACCTCCATCTCCTGGGCTTAAGCGATTCTCCTGCCTCCACCTCCCAAGTAGCTGGGACTACAGGTGCCCGCCACAATGCCCAGCTATTTTTTGGTTGTAGTTGTCATTGTTGTTTGACAGGCCCAGGGTTGGATTTGAACCCACCAGCTCTGGTGTATGTGGCTGGCGCCTTAGCCGCTTGAGCTTCAGGCACCAAGCCTAATTAGATCTTTCAAAATGTTCATGGCACACCTAAGATCTTCTCACGGCTGTGGCTCACCAATTGAAAATCACTGACACAGAGGGAAGGAAGAAGTTTGAGAGGAGGTAGTCTATGACAGTGTGGTATTTTGTTTATCATTGACAGGAATTGGCTGAACACAATAGAGTATGGAAGAGAGGTGGCCACCAGGAGTGATGGCCGCTGTGGGAAGCTGAGCCACTGGGGCTGGGGGTGGGGGATCTCAGAGCAGTAGGCGGAACCTTACTATATTCCAGACAGCAGGCTAGACATTGAGACTATGAAGATGAATAAGACAGTGATGAGTCACCCATTTAGGAGTCATCTAGACCAAATCCTGGAGGCTGATTGGCTGTTTTGGCTGGTCTGATCCATGCACCTCTTCAGAGACTCAGCAAGACAGTGGCAGTGGCAGTAAGATAGGCACTAGAGATTCAGGGTGGAAAAAGCCAAAAGATGTACCCTTTTCTTCCCTGCTTTGATCCCTTCTGCAAAGCAAAAAGAAATGGAGTTTAAAAGTTACGTAATGGTGAAAAAAAATGAAGCATCACCATGATCAGATCATTTGAACCAGCCAATCATCCAGAAATTCATTGGATAAACCTAGGGGATGCATCTCCCACCGTCACTCCGTATTCGTCAAGAACCTTCTAAGGATCTTTATAAGCAAGAGATTCCTTGATGTTATTACCTTTCAGAACAATGTTGGCTCAGAGGGATCAGAGGAAGAAAGAAAGGACTATATTTTTAGATTTTTCTGTGGGGCTCCAGAAATACCCTGCACCTGGATCTCTCCTCTGTATGCAGCTCTCAGAATCTACAATTCTTAGGTTTTTGTTATTTTTTTAAAAAGCTATTTTCCCTTTCTCTACTAGGGGGATCTTTCAGAAAGGCTCAAGTCAGAGGCTGCTGGAGGTAGGAGGTATTGGTTGGGGCCAGATCCTCCTTTGATCATGTTCCCTTCTGGTAGTAGTGTCTGAAAACTCCCTGCCCTGGGCCCAGATAATGAGCCTCTTCTAACCTGAAGGGAGGCAGCCCCTCAGGTGGAGAGGCAGTAGGCAGACAGCAATGAGAGCAGAGGCAGGGCTGAAGTTCAGCTGACCTAGTTAGAGCAGACAGAGGCTATAGGGGTAGCAGAGATGGCTTAGGAGTAGGTGGGACCAGGGAGAGAGGGAAGCTTCCAAGTGAGCCAGGCCCAGGACAAGGAGGAATAGAGTCATGACTGTTGTTCAAAAAGCCCTGGCAAGACTTAGGGGCCACCTAGGGGAGCTGTGCTTGGAGACTCAGTGAGCTGGGGGTGCATGTGTACCTGTGTGGTGGGTGTGTGCAGGAGGATCTTTACCAGATTTTGCCTGAATATTTAGATTTTAAAGTCATAACCTTGGAGGAATTGAGAGCCAGAAAAATATCTGGACCTCAGGGGAGCCAAGTGGGGAGCTCCACTAAACCCAACAAGAATGAGCAAGATCCCCAGAGCGTTCTGACAAGGTTCCCCAGCAGTGGCTCAAGGAGTGGGGCTACCCACAGTGTAACATATTAGGCACCATGAGGGCAGATACAGGAAGCAAAACTATGAGCCCAGCCTAGAGCAAAAGCAGCCCAGGTTGGGACCCCTCAGGGGACAGAGAAGTGCCCTTCCCAGGCCCTGCCCTGCCCGGGGACACAGTCTCTGTTTGAGAGAATACTAATCCTTGTGAAGCAACAGTAAACAATCCAATGCCACATTTTTTTGTTAAGCCCCTGGGTCACAGAAGCCATTTCCGGTGTATGTGGAGAAGGCTGTAGGAGGGAGGTGGATGTTAAACCGAGCCCTGAGGTCTGGGAGGGCAGGATTGGGATGAGGAGAGAGAAATCGGCATTCCAGAGTGAAGGCACACATGTAAACGTAAGTGTGGCTCAGGCGGGGACCAACATGAGGTGACCAGGCTGACAAGATTAGAGGCCCACTGAAGGGAGACAGAAAAATCCAGCTAGGGGAGAGTCAGCATCTTGGAAATATGTCAACAGCCAAGATTTGAAAGCTTTTCTCGATTCCTCCCGTTAGCTACAAGCCCATCGTGGAATTCATCGATGCGCAGTTTGAGGCCTACCTGCAGGAGGAGCTGAAGATTCGAAGAGTGTTGCACACCTACCATGACTCCCGAATCCACGCCTGCTTGTATTTCATCGCCCCAACGGGTCATTCCCTGAAGTCTCTGGACCTGGTGACAATGAAGAAGCTGGACAGTAAGGTATGGAGATAGGGCAGGGGCACAGGTGGGCAGGAGGCAGAGCAAGCTGGGCTCCCTCTTCCTCATTTCCTGTGCAAAGTAGATCCCCTCCCTCATTCCCTGCCCCTCTCTAAAGAGGGTATTGTTGATCCAGCACCTGTGTCATATGTTTTGTGATCTGTTTTCCCAGCATTAGGAATGGGTTTTCCCTGAGCTGTCGTTCTGCCCTGATCTCTCTTGGGAATAAGGGTAGATGCAAGCAAGATGGCTATCCAGGTCTAGGGGTCTAGGCTTTGGCAACAGAACGGTGTTTTGTCTTTGTTCCAATATGAACTGGCCTGTGCTGGAATCAAACATGCAAACTTGACTTTGAAAATTATTATTGGAAAAAATTATTATTGGGAACACCTGTTCCTGTGTTGTGGCTGGAGTAGTGTTTCTCAGCCTAGCAGAGTGGCCACTGCAGGTTGAGACCTTTTCATGAGAAACAAAGCTCTCCTAAAAATACATACGTAAAATGAAAGTTATCATTCGTATTATCCATAATGATTTTTATAATAGCAGTTAACATCTCTTAAACTCTCATTGTATACCAATTTTGTGAGGGAAACACTATTATTATCCCGGTTTTATGAAAGAGAACACTGATGCTCGGAGAGGTTAAGTGACTTGCCCATTGTCATATAGCTACTGGTAGAACTTAGATTCAAACCCAGATCTGTGGCACTATGTTTTGTTGTTGTTGTTTTCTGAAACAGAGTCTTACTTTGCCACCCTCAGTAGAGTGCTGTGGCAAGGCAGCTCACGGCAACCTTAAACTCTTGGGCTCAAGTGATTCTCTTGCTTTAGCCTCCCAAGTAGGTACAGTCGCCCACCACATGCCCGGCTATTTTTAGAGACGGGGTCTCACTCTTGCTCAGGCTGGTCTCAAACCTGGAGCTCAGGCAGTCCACTCGCCTCGGTCTCTCAGTGTGCTAGGATTATAGGCATGAGCCACCACGCCCAGCCTTTGTGGTACTATGTTATGTTGCCTCCAGGCCTGAGAAAAATAGCTGTGGGAATCAGGCATGTCCTACTTTAACAAAAACTGGAAAGTGCAAATCCTACCCCACGTCTAAATTAGACAGTGTTAAAGGATTGTTTGCTGCACAAAAGAATTAACCACAGGATTCTTCAAAAGGCCTAATTACTAGTACATTTTTCTCTTAATGTTTAAGAAGACTGTAATGAATACTTCGTATGCATTATTTTATTTCATCATTCCAATAACCCAGTGTAGTGAATACTGTTATCATTCCCATTTTACATATGAGGAACCTGAAGCACAGAGGGTCAAGTGGCTTGCTCAAGGTCAGACAGCTTACAATCAGTCTGGGATTTGGACCTTGCTCTTTCTGACTCTAAGGTATTTTATTTTACAAAAATCTGATTTACATGCAGTCATTTAGTAGCACAGCCACTATAAAAACTAAATTTCAGCTATCATCAGAATAGGAGCAATTTTTCATTTTTCACAGCAGTGAGCTCACTGCCCAAGAATAATAGGCTGCTCTTGAAATGTTGCCATGTCCTGTATGCCCTGTACAGGGTAGCACTGAGCCAGGCGGCTAGAGGACTGGTGGGTGGGCTGGGTTAAATAAGCAGCCTTTGATATATGTTTATAGTATGCTGATAGGGACTTGGCAAAAGTGACAAGGAGAATTGGCTCTGCCTGCTGTTCCACCTTGGCAAGGGCTTGGGCTACTCACACCCCTGAAAGACTTCAAGGGAGGTGCCTCCAACATCCAGTCTTTCTTTGCATCAGCACCTGAACTCTGTGTGATATCAAGGAGCCACTCCTAAGCCAAAGTGCAAAGGAAGCAGGACTTCTGAGTCTAGAGCCCCCAGACTCCCCTTTCTGAGCCCTCGGTGTGAGCACTGCCCATGCCACCCATTGGAGTCTGCTGGCAGGAATGATTGTGCTCTCCATGTGACCCTGAGCCCAGGTGTGCTCTGTCTCATGAAGACATGTGCATTTCAAGTTTCTTTACCTTTTTGCTGTAAAAGCCTTGTTTCTGCTTGGAAATTTTCCAGGAATGGCTAAGTTTAGGGGGGTTGACCTTTAGGATGGCATTAGGCCATTCTCAGCACTGTCTCAAATTGGGCATATATACCTGCCCAATTGCTTCTTTGCCCAGAAACTAGTCATGAAACTCAGACAGTATAATGCTTTTTGTATAAGTCCCAGGTCAGATTGGTAACTGAGAGGGTCTTCTTCACCTGCCTAATTGGTTAATCAGTGTTTGCAGCCAGAAAGAGAGCCACGTGTGCATCCTCAGTGAGCACTGCCCCTTCCTTCCCTGCTGTATCCCAGGTGGGTTATCACACCTGGCTGGGGTTAGCCTGGCCTAGGTACGTTGGGACAATTTACTGTTAACAAGGAGCAGCCATCTCTCCTCCTGTCGACCACACATTTCCAGCTATCATCTCTGTGCTTTGAATCACCCGTACAGTGACCCTGATGCCAAGATGTCACTCACACAGCTTATCAACTGGATTTCAACCTGGTAGACAGCTCATGGCTTAGACTATAGAGTAAGGCTAACCTTGGATTTGAATACCAGTTCTGCTACTTACCTGCTCTGTGTTCTTGGACAAGTGACTCAACCTCTCTATGCCTCCATTTCTCATTGGTAAAATAATACCACCTCGGAGGGTTATTGCTAGGATTAATTGTGCTAATCCATATAAAGTACGTAGTTCAGTGCCCAGCACATTGTAAATACTATGTTGTTACTTATTACATTATTTGGCTACAGAGGTAGCCACTCCTCGACTGTTGCACTGGGCTGCTCACTCTGGTAGGTCCTAGGTCATGCTGCTGTCAGTTGCATGTTACTAACCATAACTGTACTTTGCTCCTCCTTTCCTTAGGTGAACATCATCCCCATCATTGCCAAATCAGATGCCATTTCTAAGAGTGAGCTAACAAAGTTCAAAATCAAAATCACCAGTGAGCTTGTCAGCAATGGGGTCCAGATCTATCAGTTCCCTACAGATGATGAGTCGGTGTCAGAGATCAATGGAACCATGAATGTGAGTAGGAGCACAGGGGCTCAACCTTCTGACCATTTGCTTTTTACTATTTTACCAAATAGCAGTAAAGCATTGTCACCATCTATCTTTGCATAGTCAACTCTTGATTATGTAAGTCCCAGGTATTTGTGAGTGAGAATCCAGAACAAAAACAGCCTTTCCTCCTAGTGGTGGCTGCTGCAAAGCCTCAGATGTGCAGAGATAATAGCCAGAGACAAAGGGAAAGGGAAGGCCAGCTTCAGGAAGAGCGTGGGACAGGGACTTCAGACCTCTTCCTTCACCCATCTCCTTGAACTCCTGCACTCTCATGGGACTGCAGGAAAGGCAAACAGTCTTTGTTTCTGAGCAAAACAATGTTGGGAGAGTTGATGCAGTGAAGGAAGAAAAGGCCGAAAAAGGTCACTGGCTTCAGAGACTCAGGGATAATCAGTACTCAGATAATCAAGCCATCTGCCTCTAGGAAGACAAATGGTTTGTAGCCTCTAATGTCGTTGGTGACTGGTGAGATGTTATTTTTCAATATCAAGGTTATGCTTTGCTTATTAAGTGTCAATGAATCAAAAACATTCTTGCCATCTTTCCTCTCCCTCCCCACTTCCCCCACTAGAGGCATGAGTAATAAAGAAGGCAGAGTCAACTGTCTCCTCATGCTTCTTTACAATGTGTTGATGCTGTTGCCTCGAAATAGTCAATGTTGTGATTTCAAGGAGACAGCTAATAGCTTTCAGAGAGCCTCTGCTTTGGGAGCAGATTTCTTTTTTCTCTATTGAGAGGCATCAGTTTTTCCTAATGACATAATGCCTGGGTACAGCCAAACTCAGGAAAACCTTGTAATAAAAGCCATTTTTAGAAAACTTTCCTGCTGCTGCTGCCCTCGAAGTTATCATTACGGCATCAGCTGCCACCTCCTATGAACTGGCCAGCAAATTAGCATAGCGGGGCAGCAAGCCATTGTCTCGCCTGACTTCCTGCCCATCAGTACACCCGAGATATGTTTGTTATTAGAAGTCCGTCATCATCTTTGACAAATCTAACTCAAAGGTAAGGCTTTGCAGATTGCGGTAGGTGGACATATATCCTCTGTGACTGGCCCTGGGCATGGAAAAACATAAAAAAGATTACCATTTGTCTTCATAAGCAGTCAGGGTGTTTTGATGGCAACTAGGCTGTGTTGTGATGAGAAAACCTGAAAGTGTGCCGAGCTTGCTGAAAAATGGGAGCCTGGAGAGAAATGTCTGGGTGTCACTGGCACTGATGTATGGAAGCACATAGTCACCTCGGGACATCAGCCTCCATAGATATCTTCCAAATGCCAATTCCCTAAGTCATCAAGCAGTTTTCAGGCTTGTGGTTTGCGGTGCTAAGAATAAATAGGGACTGAGATTGTTCAGCAGTCTCAGGGTGTCACACAAACTACATTGTGGATTAGGAGTGACAGTCATCCTGTGCTCTGTTCCCAGCTCGGCTGTGGGCTCCTGCTTGAGCCCAGGCTAGGCTCAGCTTCAAGGTTGGAAATTCCTCATGCTACAAAGCAGCAGTTCTCAAGCACACTGTTCTGGCTGTGAAGGGGTTATGGGTCCTTTGTTACCTGTAACAGTCTAAAGATTGCCAGTGTTTCACTTTGAAAAACTAAATTCAAGTGGATGCAGGGTTATCCCTATAATAATATCACTCACCACTCACTCCCTTACATTCCACCCTGCCTATTTGAGTGGGAAAGAGAGGCGTGGCCTCGCAGCCAGTGTGCCTGAAATTGGGAGTGCTTTATGTTACATGAACTGTGATGGAGAAAAGGTAGGATGTGCTGCTATAAAATAGGTACACCAAGATTGCTTAGCCTGCCTGTCACAGGAAGGTATCAAAAGTCTTAAAGTCTTCAGACAAGCTATGGTGTATAAAGCTGCAGCGTGGGAGAGACCTGGGCTTAGGTGGTAAGAGGAGAGGGTGTTGGCCTTTTCAATTCTGGATTTGAATTCTCCAGCTTCAGCCACCCAGCTAATTGGTATAGGAAGTGGATTAGAAGTGGAAGAAACCTCTTGCCTGAGTGGAGAAGTACGGTGTCCTGTCACTCACCGCGAGGGATTCTCCTGGGAGGAAATGAGAGTAATACGGTCTCAGCTACCCCACTGGCTTGTGGGTGGCTCTAGAAAACCTTTCAGGTGGACGGGGGCAAAAGAAGGGAGAGAGAAGTGTTGCTACATGTTGCTTTCAAATCTGTCGAGGTTGTAGACTTTAATATGAGAAATTGCTATGTTTACCTTTCAGGTGTTTTGAATGGTTCGGACTAGTGAATGGGCCCAATTACTTGACTAAGTTCAGTTGTTGGCCATTTATTCTAGGGTTTGGTCCCCACAAAGGCATTTGGCATTTGGGCCTAGTGAGCTGGTATCTGACCAGTGGAGTCACAGGGAGACCCCCCTCCCCTGCCCAGGCACAAGGTCATCCCTTATCCTGAAACAACAATGGTATCTCCATTGTTTGCATGGACTTTTGCAGAATTCACCAAAGGCTGACTTGAGAGCAAAACAGGTGATGGTCTTCATTGCCAGTAGGAGGCTAAATTGGGGGCAAACATGACTAGCAGTACAGCTGGGAAACGCTGTCCACCATGGGCAGAAGCCAAGTGCAGTCAGGATATTATCGGCAAATGAGGAATAAAGAGCTGGGACAGTATCTGTTTCACTGTGCTAAGGAGAACAATCATCTAGCCTCCCTACTAGAATGGAGGTGGTGGGATGAGAATAAAATGATTAATGTCACTTAGACCATCAAACCAAGAGGGCTGAGTGCAATGGCTCACGCTTCTAATCTTAGCACTTTGGATCAGTAGAGGCCAGGAATATAAGACTAGCCTGAGCAACATAGTGAGACCCTATCTCCCCCAAAATTAAAAAAATTAGCCGGGCTTGGTAGTAAGTGCCTGAAGTCCCAGTTATTCGGGAGAGTGAAGTAGGAGGATCACTTGAGCACAGGAATTCGAGAATACAGTGACCTATGATCATGCCACTGCATTCCAGCCTGGGTGACAGAGCAAGACCCCGTCTCTAAATTATAAATAAATAAAATGCACCAAGAGGAACTTAAGGAATACATGAAACAGTGTAGCACAAGAAGCGCTATCGTTTGGATGTGTCCCCTCTAAAATTCAAGTGTTGCCCATGTGATACTATTAAGAGGGAGGGCCTTTAAGAGGAGATTAGGTCATGAGGGCTCTTCATTAATGGGGTTAGGACCCTTTAAAAGAGACCTCAGGCAGCACTGGGCTACCTCTTGCCCTTCTGCCTTCTGCCATGTGAGGATGTAAGAAGAGGCCCTCACCAGAGCAGATTCTGTGCCTTGATCTTGGACTTCCCAGCCTCTAGATCTGTAAGAAATTTTTGTTCTTTATAAATTACTCAGTCTCAGGTAGTTTACTAAGGTAGTGAATCTGACAACAATAACCTCCCAAGAATAGGCTTGCTACTATCTCTTATTGGAGTTTTCTGAGACTGGGAATCTGCCATTGGAGGATACCACGTTAGAGGTGTAAGTGAGACAGTTGCACAGCCTCACCTTAGGAGCCTGTCCATGTTTTGGCAGTAACACTGCCTTGCTTATCAGAGTTTCTAGATGCACACATACAAAATGTCACCCCCGTCAGTCTCTTATAGGGACTTGAAAGACAAAAAAATCAGGAAGCCTGGTCTCGGATTTGAATCCCCTGGGGTAGGACCTAGAAGAATGGTTGAGGGGTCTTATCTTCTCCCTGCTCTGCTGGAATCCATTCTGGTTGTCATAGCCATCTGTCTCAAACGCACCAGGACAGAGGGCCAGAGCCTGGTCCCCATGACTTCCTGCCTGTCACAGTCAGCTGACTTCCAGAAGATGCCATGTAGCCAGGAGGCAAAGTGCAGGCCACCCTGTGTGGCTGGGGCAGGTTGGCAGGCAAAATTTCCCTCCTTGGAAATATCTAGACATGGGGGTCAGGGCAACTCGTTTAACCTTTCTGTATCCCAATTTCTCCAAATCATGAATGGTGTTTATAATCATTGCCGTATGAGGTTGTTGTGAGGGTTGAATGAAAGGAGAGCACTCAGAGATGCCCACCTTTACGTGCACTTAGCAGAACAGACTCTGGTCTGATACTAGTTGCAAAGTCTGTTTGGTAGAGGCCGACTTTTAGAGCAGGGGAGAAGCTAGAAGAATAAAATTACAGCAGTTTTGAGGAAGAAAGGAAGCAAGTGACCCTGTCATTCTGGCAATGTCTCTTGATGGTAAAAATAACAGGCCCAAGGGAATACTGACCTTTCTTTATGCCTTTATTTTCTTCTTGAGGTTTTTCCTCTTTTTTTTTTCCTTGAGCCCAGACAAGTACCTCCCACTTCTTAGGCCTTCCTCTTCCAACACTTCGGGGGAGAGCCCAGGATGAGCAAGAATGATACCATCTGACTTCCCTTCTCACTTCCTCCCTCAGTCTAGCCCTCTGAAGTCACTGCCTCTTCTGTGTTTTGTGGCTGAAGCTTTGAGGGTCTCCGCAGGGGAAACATTTTTCTGGAAAGTGTTTTGGGGTGGTTTTGAGGCTTCTGACATGTCTTAGGTCCCTGAGTGGGAAAGAATTATGCACAGATGACCCCCCACACACACAAAAAGCCAACTGGCAAAGGTTGGGAGATGCTCAGGCCCTTGGGCAGCATTTGCAGGAATTCATTGCTTCCCAAATGCTCTGTGTGTCTCATGCCCAGTTTCCCTATTGATCATTCCTTCACTAAAACTGGTGAGATATTCCCCACCTCCACCCCACACCCACCTTCCATATCCATACCTCTTCTTTCCTGTGTCCCTATTTTGGGGATGTCAATGGAGTGGGAGGGGATTTGGTGGTAGCTAAGAGGGGAGAGGGTGAAGGAAGAGCAGCTTCAGCTGGTAGATAAAAGCACCTTGGGGGATCAGTGTATATCCTGGAACTGAACTGATGAAATCCTGGGTTTGTCCCCAGTGCTGAAGGACATGCCCAGAGTCCAGAGCTAGAGAAGAAGGAAGAGGAAGGATTGGCTGTGAGATCAGTATGGAGATTAAGCAAACAAGCAACAGATTGGCTGTGGGTTTCCCAAATTGAACTGCATCTTATAATCTGGCTTTGCACAACCAGTTCCCCCCAGGGTTTAAAGTGCTCATGTCATCTGCTGCTTGAACCCCTCAAATGGGAGTAGCAGACCAGTAAGGGCTGGGCTTTGAAGTCAGCAACTGGGATTCCCCACCTAGCTCTGTTCCTTACTGTTGTGTTCCTGCTGGCAAGTCACTTAGACCTTCGGAACTCTGTCTCCCTGTCTATGATGTGGGATAATAAGATGCCCTACCTCCTAGTGTTGTCATAAAGGTTCAATGAGATAATACCATGTAAGCGCCTGGTACACATGCATAGAGCTTAATAAACAGCCACCACCTCCAGAACTGTTAGTACAATTGCTCCTACCTACTCAGTGATGACTTCTTTGACTCCCATCAAATTAGTGGTGCCCTCCTATGTATTCCTCCAGCCTTTGAACCTCTTTTCACAGCCTTGATCTTACTGTACAAGGTCTGACAATTAAGTTAACAAACTCACCTTAGAAAAAGTGCTGCATACCTCTGCTGAATATCACTATGGTCACCTTCAAAGTACTCCCTTTGGGAAGCTATGTAGTGATACTAGTGCCTAGTCTGCTCTTCAAAGCAAATTTAGAACTCTTCCCAGAGTGGCCATCAAAGCTGTCATCATATTACCTTTGATGTTCTGAATATCATCAAAATGTCTTCCTTCCAATATTTCCAATATTTTCTTTATCTTCAGGTAAAGAAAAAAGTCATTGAGGGCCAGATCAGTTGAGTAGGAAGGGTGTTCTGATATAGTTATTTGTGTACTGGCTAAAAACTCCCTCACAGACAGTGCTGTGTGAGCTGGTGCATTGTTGTGATGCAAGAGCCACAAGTTGTTGGCCAAGATTTTCAGTGAAGATTTTTCTGTTTCTTTATCAATGTTTACTTGGTCTGCTGTGCTTCTTATGGTTAGCTGACAATTTTAACACACAGTTTGATGAATTTTTGCAATATTGTTATTAGTTCTACTGGTTACTAGATTCTCTGACCTCTCATCAGCTTTCTTTTCTCTCACAAAAATGTTTAATACATTTGTATACTGATGTTTTCTTCATGGCATTATCCCCATAAACTTGGATTAACATGTCCCTGATTTCACTTCCACTCTTGCCAAGTTTAACAAGAAATTGAATGATTTTTTGTTGCTCTAATTCAAGCTCTGACATTCTTGTAACAGCACACAAAAACACACAACAGTAATGAACACCATGCTGCAAGATACCTCCACACGTTGACACAGACACGACTGTGAAACCCTAATATACTGAGGTTATGAAAACTTACCAAGTTGTTTGTACAGTGCTGCCAATATAAGTGCACAGTGGCAAGTTCAAGAACTTATTTGTCAGACCTCATATTGTCATAGCTAGCACGTCTTTCTCCTTCAGCAAACTGTGTATTCTCTGGGAGCAGTCTCTGTGTTTTTCAATATATTGTGTATTCTTCTTAATGCCTAGCATATAGTAGGAGCTCAGTAAATATTTGTAGAATGGCTGAGTGAGCAAATGGGTCAAAATATCTGATACCATGGCCTGTTTCTCCAAGCAGGCTAAGAAAGCTTGTTCCAGTAGACTTTTTACCTGTTGGGGTTAGTACTCAACCTCTGCTCTCCTGGTTTATAAATAATGTTTATTCCATGGTTCCATTTGGCCAGTGGTGACTCAGTACTCACAAGCTGGTCAGCTCCCTGCAGATCAGACCTTTGGGCATTTCCTAGGCCCCATGCTACCTAGAGGGGACGGCTCCCTCTCCTCTGGCCCACAAAGCTGGGGCCACCTCCTTGTTTCCCTGTAGGTACCAAGCTCATACCCCTGTTTGCACTTTGCCTTTCATTCCTCTCTCCTGTTCCCATAGCCCTACCACTGCCATTCAAGTACTGATTAATTACTTGCTTATATGCTGGGTACCAGACCATGTATTTGAACCCTTAGTCACATACTGCCTTACATGACATCAGGTATGTAATTTGGACTTCCCCAACAAGACTATAAGCTCTCAGGGGGGAAGGGAGTGTGTCTTCTAATTCTTCTGTCTCCCTTACAGCACCTGCAGCAGAACTCAGCACGGTCATGGGTAGATACTTGATGACTTGCCTTCTAGGCTCACAAGTTTAATGTGAGCTCTTGTTCCAGGGAAGGATGAGAGAAAGGACAGTACCACTCAGTCAGCCGCACGGCTGTAGCATGTACCTATTGTCAGGGCTCTCCTACTCTGGGAGGGAGGCAGTAATCCAAGCCCTCCGGCTCTCCTTTGTATCCTGTCTATCCACATGGAACCTTCATCTTCCAATGGCCATTCTCCTTAGCAGCAACTGTGAATAGCAATAGCTTGCTAATGTACATATCTGCTTATTATTCTGCTTATTTTTCCTCTTTGTCCATTCCCTATGCATTCAGTCATGTCATTGTTACCTTCTATTATGAATTTCTGAACAGCAGTAGCCTAGTCTAGGCCTCTTATCCTTAAACAGCTCAGGAGCTTTAATAAATGCCTCTTGATGGTGACAACAGTGAGGGACGTTGCAAGGGGAGGGCCTGAGACCCTGGAGATGAGTAGCAGTTGGATTGTGGGGTGCTCAGTGATTTTCCTCGGGAGTTCTCAGCTTTGGTTTGCCTTTGGTTTCAGGCCCACTTGCCATTTGCTGTCATTGGCAGCACTGAAGAACTGAAGATAGGCAACAAGATGATGAAGGCGCGACAGTATCCTTGGGGCACCGTGCAGGGTGAGTGAGTCTCCACAAGAGAGGTAACACTCAGGAAGCCTCTTTTGACTCTTTGCTTGCCCCCAGCTACTATAGGACAGGGCCCTAACTTGTCCCCAGTCTCTGTTCATTCAGCGTGGGTCTCAAATAGCCATAGGGATCACTAGCAGGCACACTCTGGCTCTAGGCATACCTAGATTCTTAATGCGAGCAAACTCCCTTTGTCTCTAAGGGAGAAAGCATTCCTAAAACAAAACCAAATGGACATGGAGCAAGGTAGCAAGGAGTGTGCAAAAAAAGCATGTATGTTTACCCAAGTGCACCAGGAGATGTACAAGAAAGTTCAGAGCAGTGTTGTTTGCAATGACAAAAAATTGGAAGCAATCCAGACATTGTAAAATATTCATATAGTAGAATATTATATAGCAAAAAAAAATGAACTATACTATAGTTACATCTATGTGAATGAATCTCAGAAACAATGTTGAGCTCAGTAAATCATAGAAGAATACATACTATAGGATTCCATTTGTATAAATTATAAAAGCAGGCAAAACTAGATATATATTTTCAGAAATTTACACATAAGTGGTAAAACAATAAAGAAAAACAAAGGAATGATAACCCCCAAAGTCAAGATAGTGGTTAAGAGTCATTGGGGTGGGGGAGGGATGAGATTGGGAAAGGGCTGGCCGGCAGGTTTAAGCCAGGTTGTAGAGACATTGTGTTAACACATTTCATGCACCCTTTTGTATGAATGATTTCACAATTTAGAAATAAGATGTACTGTACTGTATGTACACTTAAGAAAGTTCCTTTTGTGGTCTGCCTGACACATGTTACGTTACCCTCAGGGTTAGTTGATTCAATGGATAAAATAAGGCCTACAGGCAGCGCCTGCAGCTCAACGAGGTAGGGCGCTGGCCCCATATGCCGGAGGTAGTGGGTTCAAACCCAACCCCAGCCAAAAACTGTTTAAAAAAAAAAGACAAAGCATAGGACACTGCCATGTGTGGAAGGGGTCTCTGGTACTCAGAGTCTATAGCTATAAATGGGGCCATGGATTGCAGGGGCACTGTTTGAGAGGGTGGATGATTACCTGTACACTCATCCATATTTCTGGGCAAAGAACTGAAAGTGGGTGGTGAATTGTCCTTATCTCGTACAAAGGCTGCCATGTTTTAAGCCATGCTAGAGACCCACTGGTGATATCCAGATCCTCCCTAGGTAGAACAGGACTGCTTATCAGAGCTATGCTAAGTTTTGGTCTTTGCTGTTTGGAGCTTGGGATGCTCCACTATAAACATTTGCAAATGGTTTTTGGACCAACGTCCCCGAATAAATCTGTGGTCTGAGACATAGGTGCGATAAGGAGAAGCCAGCAGACGTGGTTCCAATAACTTCCTTCCTCTAACTTGGACTACCCCACACCTAACAAAAAAAGGGGGGTTTTGAAAGTTTTTCTTGTAAGTCTGAGAAATGAGACTGTGGGAATGAGAAAGAAGTTGTCTATTGCTTGGGCAGCTTACAGAGGTCATTCCTTCCAACTGACCACCCGAGATCACTGTCCAGAGACCGAAGAGGAGATGGCTTATAGCATAGTCCTGAGACATTGTCTTGCTGATGTAATTTTTTTTCTTTTTTTTTTTGAATGGTAACTATGTACATTAATGCACTTCTGGGGTACAGTGTGGGGTTTTCACATACAACTTGAAACATTTCCATCAAACTGGTTAACATAGCCTTCATGTCATTTTCTTATCGTGTTAAAACTTTCATATTCTACTCTTAGAAAGATTCACTTGTACCCTTGTAAAATAAACCACAGAAGTGATCCCTCCAATCACCCTCTCTCCACCCATTCCCCCCTCCTCTCTACTTCCCCCCTCCCCATATTCTTAGGCTGTTATTAGGTTATAGCTTTCATATGAAAGGTATAAATTAATTTCATAATAGGGGTGTGTACATTGATACTTTTTCTTCCATTCTTGTGATACTTTGCTAAGAAGAACATTTTCCAGCACTGATGCAATTTTTAATGTTAGCTTATGTTTTATGACAGTAGGGGCCTTTATTCCACGTGCAGTGAGTCTTAAGCACAGAGGGATTCTGTGAGCTGATCTGGGCTTTGGAAAGATTACTCTGACCACAAGGCAGCCTTCTGCAAATATGTCAGGCCCTGACACCCCAGACCCCTTCTCTGCCTCCGCTCCCCTCTGCCAGACTCTGCAAAACAGAATCTGGGGTGACTGTGCCTATTCATCTCAGACACTACTGTCCCTACATGGTCAGGCCAAATTGCACCATCTCACACAATTAAACCACACCTGTAGCCACCTTGACAGAGCACTGCTCGGGACCTGCTGGTCCATCCAGATATCAACTTTGCCATGACTTGGTCCACATCTGTTACTCTTGGCCACTGCCACCCAAAATGCAGACCTTTGCTACACACTCTTGAGGTGGGAACTTGCTCACTTGGGCCAGAAAGTGGGTTCCCCTTGCTTCTTGGCACCACCACCACTGTCAGACCACACTATTCACTCTAAAAAAAAATCCCCCCCCAAAGCCTCTGCCATCTAGAGGGGCCATGTCTGTGGTCCTCATCCCTCTTTGTCACTGTCATCTATTGATATCCTATTTTTTTCCCCTTAGTCTTTGGAGATGGTGTCACCTGGTCATAGCCTTTGCCTTTCCCCTACATTGCCTGGGTTTGAATCCTAACTCTACAACTTACTAGCTATGTAACCTTGCCTAACCTTATTGAGACCCTGCAAGGACTGTTCCCTTCTCTGCCTGATAAATTCCAATTCTTCCTTCTAGAGTTATCTTAGGTGTTGTCTCTTTGGTGAAGCCTTCACTCTCCCAGAAGTTCTTAGCCCCCACCCCCATTCTGAGTTGTCATTGCAACTCAGTTATCTCTCCATATTTTTGTAATTTTGAAGTATATTATATTTGAATCTATTCATCCACTGAACTGTAAGCTCCTGAGGGCAAGACTCCCTGACTTTGTTTCTGAGTTCCACATGCTTCACACAATTCTGGGAACAGAGATTCACAAATATACATTGACTGGTGGATGAATGTACATGTGTTATTGTCCCCAGAGTCATGCGGAATAAACATTCCCGTGAAGGTTCTGATTGCTGCATTTGGGTTGAGGTACTACTGAATGTCATCTTAGGTATTTTTATGGTATCACAGTTTTTCATTACTGCCATTTTGGTAACTTTTCATTTGCACTTTCGGTAGAAAAGCAAATTAGGATGTCAGCTGGCAGGTCCTTACATAGATTGCAAGGTGATATTGTTAGACATTTTGCCTTTCATTTCATCCCTTTCTGCTTCTGCTGGCCTTTTAATACCCCCAACCCTGCTGTGCAGTTGAAAATGAGGCCCACTGCGACTTTGTGAAGCTGCGGGAGATGCTGATTCGGGTCAACATGGAGGATCTGCGGGAGCAGACTCACACCCGGCACTATGAGCTATACCGCCGCTGTAAGCTGGAGGAGATGGGCTTCAAGGACACTGACCCTGACAGCAAACCCTTCAGGTACCACTCCCACCAGCCCAGGCCAACTCAGCGCCCCCAGGTGGTGTGGAAGGAAGCCTTGCCCCTGAACACCTCACAGGGGAGGTGAAACACAGGTGCTAACACCTAGAGGAGGGGGGTAACTCACATGCCAGTTCTGCTCACCTGTTTCCCTTTCTGCCTCTGCACACCTGCCAGGAGAGCTGTGGCAGGGCAGACCTGGAAGCCCTGCTGCCATGCTTACAAGGCCAAGGAAAGGGAGGAGGCCCAGGGAATCAACAAGGCTGGATATGCGTACACAAGCATGCACGTGGCAGCTCCCGTCACCTCCAGTGGAGGAAGACCCTGAGCTGGGGCCTTGTTCCATAGGGTGGCAGTTTGTAACTGTCCTCTGCCCCTCTTCATCAGGCTGCTGCTGCTCAGGCAGGCTTCCAGTCTGTTCTTGACCTATGTCCCCATTTTCAAAACCAGGAAGCAGATACATATTGATGAACTGCATTCTCTTCATTCACTGTTCTTAGTGTTTGCATTAAAGCGCAAATTTAGTTTTGACCACAGGATGTCAATAATCACAGGCATAGCCCTCAAATCAGAATCTAAGATGCTCTCAGAGAAGAGGAATATTTTTGAAAGCAGGTTGTTACTCAGATAGGAGCGATACACCAAGTAGAAGTGTCTGATCTATGTGTGTGACGTGTGACAGAAGCCCCACAGTCTAAGTGAGCACGTGGTGCTCTTTATTATGGTTTGGTCTCATTTTAAGAGATATCAGACGTTGATAAGTGCGTGAGGGAGATGTCTGCATGCTATGGTGGCTTTCAAATGGCCTCTGAGATCCCACAGTAGCTGCTCACAACTGAAACCTGGCCTGGGGACTGGCCTAGCCAGTCCTTTGGGGATGCCTGCTTCAGGAAGGACAGACTCACTCCTATACAGACCGCAGGCCAGCAGCCACCGCAGCCTCTCCTGTTCTTCTTCATTCCCGCCTGAAAGCATCTGTTTCCCTCACCTTCACCCTCTTCACTCCTTTTCTTCTGCCTTCTTTCCATTTTTCATGTTTGTAAACATTCTCATGCTGGGTGGCACCTGTGGCTCAGGGAGTGGGGTGCCAGTCCCATATACCGAGGGTGGCGGGTTCAAATCTGGCCCCGGTCAAACTGCAACAACAACAAAAAAAATAACTGGGCGTTGTGGTGGGTGCCTATAGTCCCAGCTACTTGGGAGGCTGAGGCAAGAGAATCGCCTAAGCCCAAGAGCTGGAGGTTGCTCTGAGCTGTGACGCCATGGTACTCTACTGAGGGTGACAAAGTCTCAAAAAAGATTTTTTTTTCTATGCTAAAAAAACTCTCCCTTAACTGTTCTTTCTCTGCCCTGGAAGAAGTCTGGCTCTGGCAAGAAGGAGAAAAATTTGTTCCATATTTTACTGGTTCTCCCCCCCCCATTTTTCTTTCTTTTGTTCATCAGGCCCAGGTGAGATTCGAACTTGCTGCCCCTGGTGTGTGGAGCCAGGGTGCTAACCACTGAGCGACAGCACCCAGTTTCCTGTCTTTCATTATCCCTCAACCTAGTGCAGTCTGACTCCTGCCTCCAGCATGCTCCGGAAACACCTCTCTCTAAGGCCAGCAACCTTGGACTTGAGGCCAATTCCAGCTTACTTGATCGCGACACCACCTTTGATACTATACTGCCTCCTTGAATACTCTGCCTTGGGCTTTTCTAGTGCTGGCCTGGCTGCTTTTATTCCCAAGTCTCTTGCCATTCCTTAGCCTCATTTGCAGGCTCATTTTCTTTAGCTTCCACCTTTAAATGTTGGTATTCCCCTAGGATTTTTTCTGAGGGCCTCTGCTCCTTTCTGTCTCTGTCCTCTTTGCAGCTGATTCTTTCTGCTCACAGCCCTAATTACCACCTGAAAGTAGATGACTTCCAAGCTGAAATCTTACTTTCAAGCTCTAAAGCCATTGACCCAACTGTATACTAGACATCTCTGCTCAGGCGTCCCATAAACTCAACCTGTCTGCAATCTCATTTATCTTCTTCTTTTAAACATACTCCTTCCCCAGTGTCCCCTGTTGTATTCCTGGCAGCACAGTGGCTGTTGGTCCTTTACCTGGTTGTCCAAGGCCTGAACGGGAATTATCTTTGAATTCTCCAAGTTCAAGGAGTTCTGCTTCCCTTCCTGTTCTTGCAGTTCCTATCAGCCTTTAACATTAAGATTCTGTCATTTCTGGGTGGCGCCTGTGGCTCAAAGGAGTAGGGTGCTGGCCCCATATGCTGGAGGTAGCAGATTCAAACCCAGCCCCAGCCAAAAACTGCAACAACAACAAAAAAAGATTCTGTCATTTCTTGTTGTTTTGGAAAGGCTATCCCGCACACAACAGCCAGAGTGGTCCAAATTGGATCTGGTGAGATTTCTTGCTTAAAACTATGCGGTGGTATATGTCTGATTTTTTTTTTTTTTTGAGATACAGTCTGACTTTGTCATCCTCGGTAGAGTGCTGTGGTGTCATGGCTCACAGCAACTTCAAACTCTTGGGCTCAAGCAATCGTTTGCCTCAGTCTCCCAAATAGCTAAGACTACAGGTGCCTGCCACAATGCCCGGCTGTTTTTAGAGATGGGGGTCTTGATCTGGCTCAGGCTGGTCTCAAACCTGTGAGCTCAGGCAATCCACCCTCCGCGGTCTCCCAGAGTGCTAGGGTTACAGGCGTGAGGCACCGTGCCTGGCCCTATGATTTTTTTTTAATATGGCGTCTGAAGCCCATTCTCCTCTGGCATGCTCAAGAATCTCATCTCCTGCTACTCCATGGCTTACATGGTGCTCCCCTCTAGTCATGTAGGGCCATGCCTGGCTCCCCAAGAATGATGTTCTCTCTCTACATGTGCTTTTACACACAGTGCCCTCCTTGGCACACTGTTGTCCCTCTTCACCAGGCTATCTCATGTTTCTTTAAAAATTAGCCAAGGTATCTCCCACTAGACCGTGAGTTCCTTGATGACCGCACGGTGGCTGTTGGCCCTAGAAGCTGAGTGACTAGCATTCTGTCAGTTAGCACTGGGTTGAGCACATAGTAACATCTCATCAGGAATCTGTGGAAATTATTAATGTGGTCAGTTTCAGACCTAGGGCCTGGCAATGTAGTGCAGAGGGAGGGCCCATGTAAAGAGACAGAAGCCCCAACTTCCAGCCCCAGATCTGCCTTTAACTAGCTGTGTGATCTTGAGCAAGTCACCTCACCTCTCTGGGCCTCAGTTTCTTCATGTATAAAACAAGAGTATAGAACCAGATGTTCTAAGTCTTTCCAGTTCCTCAGGGCTACCCCATCCCCTTCCAGAAGCCCTGTTCTTAATGCGGTCAAGTGCCAGGCTAGGTGCCCACCACTTTGTGCTTCTGTTTTATCAGCCAGCTCCCAATTGGGGGAGGGAGGAGATGGAACCCAGGGAAGATTATTGGCCAGTTTTCAGCAGATAGGAGCCATTCTAAAAGCAGAGGAATTAACCTGACCATGTTTGCAGTTTACAGGAGACATATGAGGCCAAAAGGAATGAGTTCCTAGGAGAGCTTCAGAAAAAAGAAGAGGAGATGAGACAGATGTTTGTCCAGAGAGTCAAGGAGAAAGAAGCAGAACTCAAGGAGGCAGAGAAAGAGGTAAATGTGAACCTGGGTGCCAGGCAGAAAGGGCAAGAGGGCTGTGCATGGCATGGAAGCTGACGACAGGGGCTTCCTTCTCAAGAGAGAGCAGCCAGTGGGAGCCTCCCAGCCTCTGGGCAGGTATAGGGCATAGTGTCTGTAGCCCTTTCTTGGCTGGCACAGATGGGGCTGTGAGGTTTTTTATTTTTTTGGTAGAAACAAGATCTTACTATGTTGCCCAGGTAGTCTTGAACTCCTGGCCTCAAGCGATCTTCCCACCTCAGCTTCCTAAAGTGCTGGGATTACAGGTATGAGCCATTACACCTGGGCTAGTTCTGTGTCTTCTTGATCTTTCATTCCCAAGGCTGAGATGTTTTCTCTTTCTGTGTCACTTAATTCTCCAGACCCTTGCCATCCCATACAGTAGCCATGTGTGACTATTTAATTCTTCTGAATGGTTTAAATTGTTTTCTTAATTGACAAACAACAACTGTCTATGGGGTGCAATGCAATGCTTTAATTTATATTTATATTGTGGAAAGATTAAATCAAGCTAATTATCAAATCCATCACCTCACATACTTATTTTTTTGTGATGAAAACATTTTAAAATCTACTCTTTTTGCAATTTTGAAATATACAATAAAATTAAAATCTCAGTTTCTCAGTCACATTAGCCCCATTTTAAAAGCTCAACCCTCATGTACCTCATGGCTGTCATACAGGGTGCCCATAAGGTTCGTGTGCAATTTACCATGCTAAATGATTTTAAATTGCACATGAGCTTTATGGACAGCCTATATCAAACAACACAGCTGTGGAACATTGCCATAGTCATAGAAAGTTTCCTTTACTGGGAAGCTACGGAGTCAAGCTCTTGAGGTCAGGTGTGGGGTGATTCTTTCGCTCTTCTCGGGAGTTTGGAGCTCAGTAGGGACGACTGATCCCTTTCTCTGATGGCTATGGGGAGAGATGGTCCCAGGTAGTCCTGAGCACTGTGCTGAAAACTACAACAGTGACAGCTGGAACATTTCCCCTTCTACTTGGATATCCTGTTCCGTTATGTTTTAAACATCTCTGCAGCTCTGGAATTGTAAAACTAAGGTTTGATGGTCCTATCTGGGCTTTTCATTGATTACGCTGTGTCTAGGCATGTGTGGTCCTCCATCCCATGGCCTTGCCTCCAAGGTCTCCCCTCCCAATTCACTTACTGCTGCCTGAGGTACAGTTTTGGTCATGTCAGCCACTGCTTCACCTCTCTGGGCCTCAAAACAAACCCTCAGCCTAACAGAAGGAAAGCACTTCATTACTTCCCAAGTCTGTACCACCTTGAAAGGTTATCACTAAAGCCAATGGCAAAGGTATTGATTTTGTATCAGTTTCATTCATAAAAAGAAAAATATCACCCAACACTTTTAGGAGAGGTGAAGGGGTTGCAAAGATAAATGAATAAAAGCACAATGAAGAAAAGTCAGGTTAAAGCACCTGATAGGCAGCCCGAGTGACACCCCCACCCCAAGTGACTAGTAAAAGCTGGTTTGTACAGCAATCTATCATTCACCACACCTTACTAAGTGACAGTTCCAAATACCTGTAGGATCCAGAGAATTTGCCTTCTTCATGGTGTGCTACAAGTGCTACAGAATCCTAAATTCTTTTTTTGAGACAGAGTTTGACTTTGTCACCCTCGGTAGAGTGCTGTGACATCACAGCTCACAGCAACCTCAAACTCTTGGGCTCAAGCGATTCTCTTGCCTCAGCCTCCC